ACTTGTTGTTGCATCAATTCAAATGTTTTAATGGCACTTTTTCTTAGTTTTAAAAAAGAATTCAATGCTAGCTTCTTGCTCTGTGCTTACTACGTAACAATGCACCTCTGGCTAGGTCAACAAAATGGCGGCTTATTTGGTGTCTGCTTATCAAGCGGCGATGAAAAGTTGCCAGATCATAGATGAATGTTGCCTCTTTAGATTCCATGCTTTTTCATAGATGGCATTTTTGTCTTGGCCATAATAAAAATCAGTCTCATTTCTTAATTGTCGGACCTTGTAAAATACCCCAGTTAACAAGCCGACACGCCGTGATCTTAGCGGAGCATCCTCTTATACCCGATATTTGTTGCTGTATAAAGCCAATTCAGGATCTAAATACTAGCTAAACTGCGCACTTATTACCATTGTCGTCCGTACCCGGTCCAGATTTCAGATTATTATGTAACCATCAGGGGCCCTAAGATAATTGCCATGCGATTGAATGGGGATATGTTCATGTAGGATGCTCATCCCTAATACCCTAACCCCTACAGACTGCACTCCTGGAGGGACAAACCGCCTACATTACCAGTGAGAATGAGCAAGTAGTTCAATGCACAATGACAGTAGCCTAGGTAAGGCAAAATGTAATATAGGCATTAGGTGTTTATCTTTTGGCTACGACAGGTCACAGCCAACTAACAGGAACGGTTAGCAAAGAACACCGCGCTAGGCATCTGATGGGTGGCTCATTGTGTCACTCGGATTTCGAGTTCAAGAGAAATAAAAATGTACAATTGTTATGACAACAACACACAAAAAACATCATGAACAATAATTGGATGTAAATATCCCACATTGTTTAAGGTGACAATAGGGTACTTTGTGTAGTCGTTACTTTTGCTCTAATTATCTTCTTTTTTTTTTTTTTTTTTCTTCTTCTTCTTCTTCTTCTTTTTTTTCTCTTCTTCTTCTTCGTTAAGCGGCGGAAAGTCCTATTTGTTCGACCATATGGCTTTGTGCCAGGGCCTAAGTTTTGAGTGTACATCCGTTTTACTGGCCTATTTGTGTGCTGTTGGTTGCTCCTTGCCGCTCGGGCAGCTGCACTCCGACTTCGAAGGAAGCCCCCAAATTAGTCGACTCCCACGTCATGCTTGTTGGGGAGGCAGTAGGTGTATTCGTGTTCTCTAATTATAACTTGCAAAAAGTTTTACCTAGTATATGGGAGCTTACTTGTTTTTGAATATCATCCGGGACCAGACCCTTGAAGACTCAGAGGGTGGGCAAACCATGACACTATTGTCGTAGCACGTAAAGGTGTCAGCGGTCTCCATCATACACGTCGTTGGTGATGGCAAGATATGGAGAAGCATAACTGTCGTGGAACAGGTTCCTTTTACACACACTAAAGTGGTGTTATCTTGTTAGAAACCGAGACAACTGTCTTCTGGTGCAAAAAGAGAGCAGACAAGTGTCCCTGCACTCAGATACAGGACTCGAATTGGATCCGCTAGAAGAATAGTGAGCTGCCTGAATATCCCCAGAGAAGAGGGATAAAGGGAATTTTAGAATGCCTCAAGCCTTAAGACAGAGCAAGATTACCCCTCCCGACAATTTCCGTTATGGTAATAAATTAAGCCCCCACTAGACTATGTATATTGGGTTGAGACAGCACCATACACACATATAGAAATTAGAACTACACTTTAACTATGAGTTTTAAATCAATCATAGGAAATGTTTTATTAAAATGAAAGTAACATTCATCATCTATTTACTTTGAAAACTACATTATTCAAACTAAGTAGGGCTGAAGATAAAAATGAATAGTAACATGAAACTGTCCGTCGTGAGAGGATCAGTGGTACATAACATACAACCAATTACCACCTGGAGTTTCCCAGAGATTCATCCATTTTCAAAGGACAGAGGTGAAATGTCGGATCTGTCCCCAGCACCAAGATCTTCCTTAGGGCACTCCAATCGTTTAGCTAACACCAGCCTGGCAGTGGTTTGTGGACAGCGTCCTGCACAAGGCAAACAAGGAATCTGTCCTCGGGCTTTTCATGCAGCTAGGGATGGAAAACAATCATAAAATATATAGTCACTAATGTTTTCAATTATAAAATATATTCCCAACTCTACCCTCTCTCTTCTTGTCAGAAGTGGGGGGGATAAACACTATACGCTTGCGGGTTGGGGGTTTGTGTTTTCTCTTCTCCCCCGCGGCCTGTTTTTTTTCTCCCTCTTTCTTTGTCCTGTTCTTTTTCTTCCTGTTTTTTCCCGTGTTGTGTGGTGTCCCCTCCTGTGTCCCCCGCGTCGGTCGCTCTGGCGCTCTGTTGCTTCGTTGCCTGTGCCCTGACCTCCCTCTTCTCTCTCCTCGCGTGGCGGAGGTCCATGCTGCCTCCCCTTCCCTCGCGGGCTTCGGTCCGGACGCGGCCTGTGCAGGCGAGTGGGAGGAATGACCGGGGAGTAATGGATGTGAAAAAAAAAGCAAAATACACCAATGAGCCGGGATAACAAAAAAAAAACCACAATAATTTGAAAAATTAAACAAAAAACTTAAAAAAACTTATTTACGATTTGATTACATAATAAACATATTAATATGAGCTCAAAAAAAACATAAAACATACCCAGTGTTAAGCTAGATCGGGGGATTCATTCGTTAGGATTGATGGATATAAACTGAGAATCTAAAAAAAAAAAAACTATTAAACCCCAATAATTGATTTGAATTAGACAACCAAAAAACAAACACCACACTGATCACAAAAAAAAACAAAAAACATAACCGGCCCCGACAAGAAAGGCAAAATGATTAAAACATAGTTACTAGGATAGGATAGATGATCATAATAAATAAAAATGTACCCAGATCGAATCTTTTGGAATGATATAAATAAAAGATCACTAAAGAAAAAATAGTCTAGGTAGCATTGTCATTTACATAGCCTCCAATTCTGACTACTGTCCATTCCAGATGAATATGTTTCCATCTTTCTGTCCTTCAGGATGATAGCTTGTAAATGCTCTCTCTTTTTTCACAGACTCAGACAGAAATATGCACTGTTATAAATGCAGACACAAAATCAGACAGAATGTTATAGAATTCTCTCTATACAGATTGACGAAATTCTAGAATAAAAGGTCTTGCTTTTCCTTCTTCCAGATATTCCACTGTGCGGTTTATTTCTGGTTGAACTCTGCTTTTGTGATGCTAAGAAAAAACAGTTTCCCGGATGGGGTAGTTTTTCTCGGACAGCATGTTCTCAAAATCACAGCAATTATACTGCTGTGTATAAGTAAAATATACATTAATAACATCATGAATAATACATCAATAACCTGAAAACCAAATTCAGCACTTCTACAAACAAGCAAACACTTATGAATTATAGAAGCTATGAGCATGAGAAGAACACAAGAACAATGTCTCCTATGAAATGTTACCATTATCTACCACAAACTCTGATAACCAGCCATAGATCATTCATCTACAGCAATAGAAGATAGATAATTTCTAAGAGGTCTAGATACAGTAAATAGAAGTCCTCTTAGATACCGAACAATAAGAATCAGGAAATAGATCGTAAAGAAATGGTTTTCCTGCCCATGTGCAGAAATGGGTCTCAGTGTGGTTGGGTTTTTCCTCTGTCTGGTTACCAATTCTAATATTGTACATGAAATGCGGCCCGAAAACTGAAATCATGATTAATTTAATTAACAGCTACTGTGCTCACCTGGATTTAGATAGTAACTATATGGTCATGTTGCTAGGGTTTTTTAGGCGGCGGGAAAAGATAGTTCTTCCCCAAACGGCCCGCTCTAACTCCTGCTTGCTGACCTGAAGTAAAATGGCTGGCAATCTGTGCTCACTGCGGGATTTCCGGTGTTGGCCAGGGTTTTCCCCGCTACGTTGCCGAATTACTAGCCGTATATTTGTTATACGTGAAAGCTCAGGGGAATTACAAGTAGGGACAATGGAAAATCCCAAAACAGCAACCGTAGGCTATAACCGCGCGATATCTCTCAATGCGTCTTATGACGAAAATGAAGTCACTGGGCGCATGTAAGAGAGAAAAATAGAAGGTCACAAAGGGGGTTGTACGTCAGCCAAAAAGTATCATGTCTACTTGAAGCGGCGTCTCGCGACAATAACCTAGTCTGGAAACAAATGATGATGATGATGATGATGGCGGTGGTGATGATGATGGTGATAATAATGGTAGTGGAGGGGATAAAGATAATGATAATGATAGAGATGATGATTACGTAGTGGAGATGTCGCTGAAGGTGGTGGTGGTGGTTGTGGTTGATGATGGTGATGATGATGGTAGTGGAGAGGATAATGATTAAGATAATGATAGGCATGATGATTACGTGGTGGAGAGGATGCTGATGGTTGTAGTGGTGGTGGTGGTGGTGCTGATGGTATTAACATTGACGATAATGATGACGATAATGATATGGATGATGACTACAATCATGGTGGAGATGATGCAGATGATGATGATGATTTATTGACCAGGTCTGGGTGCAGGGGTCCCACTGTGGTCGTGGGGGAGAGGGGAGATTAGCACTGCCTCCTATGTCCTAATATTCAGGGATGTTTCCTTTGAAGTGAGAGTGTATTTATCTGGGAAGCAGGGAACCAACAGTCTCTATACAAATAGGCCACATCGGTTAAAAGGATGTGCACCAAAACTGAAGTTCTGAATCAAGACTAAAGTCCAGATGTGGACGAACATTGAGAACTCTTTGCTCTCGTCTCCTATTCTTCCCACCTCCTTCCACATAAAACAATGTGAAAGGGGATGCTCACGGTGCCCCCACTCTCCTAGGTTCCATCGCCCTTTCCAACAGATTAGCGTTTCTTTAAGGGTCTCAGAAAATGTAGAGTTGCAAGAAAAGTAAGCCATATAATTGTTATGTTGACCTCAATATTCCTGGCCAGGGTTATAAAAACTACATATTTAAACAGACAGACAAAAGCGGTAATGAGATAAGGCTTGCTAATGAAAAATTTTGCTGTATTTGTTGGAACGATGACGTTACAGGCTGTTTGTCTGTCCGTCTGTCTAATTCTGGTTGTCGTTCAATGCCAAGGTGAGTGAAAACTTTGTACAGTCAGTATTTTCACTGTTACTGCAACTAATATTACTGCAACTAATATTACTGCTACTTATATTACTACTACTAATTTTTTTTTTTTTAATAGTTGCGTAGGTAAAAGTAATTCTGGTCTCCCCATGCCCCGCCCATTTACACACTAGCTCACTTCTGGTTGGTAGTTTCTGAACCTGTCACCTTGGCAAAAGGTTACGGGTGTGTTCCGCAATGCCATTGATATCGCTTTATATAAAATTTCAGAAGGTCAGCGCTTTTATCACTCCAAAAACATGGACAAACTGGTCCTAACACAACTCACCTAGAGAGTGCTGCAACCTATGTTACAGGCATTCTTTTTGGAATGAAAACATAAATGTAAGACATCACAGAAAGCAAACAACAGAGCAGGATACATCCGTTACCTTCAGGAAAGTCGACAATTCCAACAAACTTGTAACTAAAAAGTGATTATCTCTATTTGGGGAGATTAACGTGAACCTAACCATTTGCGTATCTTTTACAGGATATTGCAGGACCAACCCCAGCATATTTTGACTGTTGTGATTTCTCTAGGCACATTTTTACGTTCGGTAGTTTGCCATTGCTCTCTGAACGGCCAGCTCTCGGTACCACTGGAGAAACCAAAGCAAAACAAATCGTCCGCAGCTGGGATAGAACCCGGCACCCCGTCATTACAAAGCGTTAGCAACCCCTAAGCCACAGACGACAGACAACATTAAATACAACATTACTACCACCACCACTACTACTACTAAAGTGGGGGAGTTGGTTTAAATGTTTTTATGAAAGAGAGAGAGGAGAGTTTTTTTTAAGAAAAAAAAGAAGAGAGAAAATTTTTTTGTGGGGGGTGGGTTTATGTGTTTGTGGGGGGGGGGAGGTGTTTAGGGGGGAGGATGGGGTGAAATTTTTTGGGTGGTGGGGGGAAGGGGGGAGTGTGGTGGGGGGGGGTGTGGAAGGGATTACTACTACTACTACTACTACTACTACTACTACTACTACTACTACTACTACTACTACTACTACTACTACTACTACTACTACTACTACTACTACTACTACTACTACTACTTCGGTGTTACAACTGCAAATGTGTTCATTTTGGGTTTGTTTGTTTTTTTCAGCCAACGGTTGACGGCATTAACCCTTTTCCCAGTGCTGGACTTCACGAGGCTGTTACACCACACGATGTCTACTGTGTCCAACTTTGAGGTAAAAGTAAAAGTGCCCTTTCCACGCCTTTAGACCTATCGAGAATATAGGGCTAGACCTATTTTCTATAGACCAATCGGCACTTGGTGGGTGATGTGGTCATCATCACGCCGGTCGCCTTTACTTCCCGTGACTGCACCTGGTACCCACTCAATGCTGGGTCAACCAGCTCCGTTAGAACGTGAACCCACGACCTTTCCATCCACAGGCCAGCCTCTAGCCGCCAACGCCACGGCGACTCCCGTGTCCAACTTTGCACTGCTCAGATCGATGCCTCACCATTGGTTGGTAAAGAATTTTGTCGACACGATGGCTTGTATCTCTGTGTGTTTATCCTTTGCCTACATTGCGCTTCTTCATCGTATTGTGATCTAATTTCGTTCTTGATTGTACTCACACCGATTACTTTAATCCACTCCGCAGTTCTGGACTTCACAAGGGAGCTAACACCGGACGACATCTACTGTGGAAATCTCCGATGTGTAGCGAAAAGTTCCCTGAATAACATCAACATCGCCATATATGATACCACAGATGAAGACAACTCCGTGAAACTTGCCTCCATCTCAGTGTTTGCCCCGGAAGTATCCGTAGACCCATCCAAGAACAACGTCATCGATGCCACAGGGAACATCTCAAAGTACGACGGGGTCTTGAATGTTTGGTTCTTGAAGGATTTTGATTGCTTGTATGGAGCGTTTCAGTGTGAACTAGATTTCTTTGACATCAACGGCCAATCGGGTGTGATCAGAGAAAACTTGACACCAGCCACAGAAGAAAATGGTAAGAAACAATTAAAAGATCAATATCGAATATTGTAGTGGTGGTAGCAGTAGTAATGGTGCTGGTGGTAGCAGTAATAATGGTGATGGTGGTAGTGGTGGTAGTGGTGGTAGCAGTAGTAATGGTGATGGTGGTAGTGGTGGTAGCAGTAGTAATGGTGATGGTGGTATTGGTGGTAGTGGTGGTAGCAGTAGTAATGGTGATGGCGATAGTGCTAATGGTGTAAGTAGTTGTGATTGTAGCAACGGTTGTGGTAGTGGTGGTGGTAGTAGTAATGGCGGCGATGGTGTTAGTGGTCGTGGTAGTAGTAGTGGGGATAGTGGTGGAGAGAAAGAAAGAAAGAAAGAAAGAAAGAAAGAAAGAAAGAAAGAAAGAAAAGAAAGAAAGAAAGAAAGAAAGTGGAAAGAAAAGAAAGAAATGGAAAGAAAGAAAGAAAGAAAGAAAGAAAGTCGTGGAAAGAAAGAAAGAAAGAAAGAAAAGAAAGAAAGAAAGAAAGAAAGAGAAAAGAAAGAAAAGAAAGAAAGAAAGAAAGAAAGAAAGAAAGAAAGAAAGAAAAGAAAGAAAGAAAGAAAGAAAGAAGAAAGAAAGAAAGAAAGAAAAAGAAAGAAAGAAAGAAAGAAAGAAAGAAAGAAAGAAAGAAAGAAAGAAAGAAAGAAAGAAAGAAAGAAAGAAAGAAAGAAAGAAAGAAAGAAAGAAAGAAAGAAAGAAAGAAAGAAAGAAAGAAAGAAAGAAAGAAAGAAAGAAAAGAAAGAAAGAAAGAAAGAAAGAAAGAAAGAAAGAAAGAAAGAAAGAAAGAAAGAAAGAAAGAAAGAAAGAAAGAAAGAAAGAAAGAAAGAAAGAAAGAAAGATAAAGCCAGTGAAAGCCAGTAGACAATCTCAGTGCCCTCAGTTTGTTCGCAAAATACTCCCTAATACGTTTTGCATTTTATCAACCCTGAAAAATGTCCTCAATCATCTAAACAGAACAAAGTCACCAGTTTTCGCTTACGCACTGGACACTGCACTCCTATAAAGTGAATGTGTGCTAAACTGCCAGTGTCTTCTTGCTAAACAGACTTCACAAGATGTCTTGCAAGACTTGTCCTCTCTTGGAGAAGCTGTAAATTATAAAGAAACATCTGGCCACACCCGGTAGACCTAATAGCTAAGCTTTGGGGAAATCTAAGAGACCTTGAGATGACAACCCAGTTTATGACCAACAGTGGATTATCGTTAGCGCAGCGGATAGGAGACTCGCTTTCAAATCCAGCTGCGACTCGCTGCACCCTACGGCCGGTGTCCGAGACCCGGCGGTTCCTGGGGTTCACCAAGCATCTAGGAAATGGGTAACAGAGTTAACACCCTGACGTCTCTGTAGTTACGGAGTTTTGTGCGGACGACGACACAAGCGGACAGCTGTCTGAACTGATGACAGAGCACTTATGGTTTATAACCTGTGTAATGACGCTGGTTTACATCTCCTGACGTTACCTGTTACCTTTAGTGGATTATATGCATGACCAGAAATGGCTCAAGAAAAAGAAGAATTGTGCCAAAAAACAATTTGAAAGGGGGGTTGGGGTGGGGGGGGAGGGGACAGTCGTTTAGCTCCTCAAAGTTGTAAGGTTAACCATTCGTTTTTTACCCGAACAGCGTTGTAGGGGACATCAGAATGTTGTGGCCATTACTACTCTTCGGCGACTGAACAAGGTGTCTTGGATTTGGAATCCTGGTCTGCCGAATAGGTTGAGACTGTAATATCGGGGATATCAACCCTTCTGGTGGCAGCTCGTAGGGAGTGGTGTCGGGGCATAGCGTCCGCCTCGATTGCTGAAGGTTTGGTTCAGGACCCAGTGAAGGCTGGCATTTTTTTTCACGTGGACTTCTACACAGCCAGCTCCAGATAAGGCCGTACAGCTCATTGGGAATACCGGTTTTTTTTTTGGGGGGGGGGGGGGGGTGGGGCGTCCGTGGCCGGTCGATTTTCACCATTGTTACCGAGTAGATTTATACATAAATTGAACAATAGTTTAATTAATTTGCAATGAAGTGTTCTAATATTATTAATATTATTATTAATATTAATAATATTATTATTAATTATTCTTATTAATATTATTAATATTATTATTATTATTCTAATAGCCCACTTATTTATCTTTAAAATGATAATTCATTCAATAATGTGGCAAATTAATAAAAATATAGTTTAATCTGTGCATAAATCTACTCGATAACAATGATGAACACTGTCCGGCCACGGCCGGCCTAAAAAAACGGGAATTTCCGTTGAGCTGTAAGGCCTTTTCTGGAACTGTGACTTCTAGTAATTTTCTCTGGTCTCTGTGTAGTAAGATCGGACTCCCGTGTGTATTGTTGGGCAGGTAAAAAGAATTCTTTGGCAGTTGGAAACCGAAAAGAATAGCCTAAAGGCGCTGCTCGAGCAAAATCTGGAGTTAAAAATCTACCCAAAGTATTTCAAAATCCTCGCGCGTGCTACGGAGTACGTGCACTGCGCTGAGATTCTTTCGACTCAGGCGTGAGTTTGAAGTAGAGCCGAGCACTTATGGGTTACTACCCTTGTACCATGATTGTATCTGCTGTTTAAACCATAGAGGGAAAACACACGTATGCAGGCACACTGCGCTTTTAGTTGTTGCGTATTGTCTTTGAAATAAGAAACAATAATGATGTGGCGTTGTCAGTGAAGTTCTACCCCACCAGTGCTTGCTTTGGCACTTCTCACCGCTGCCTGGTGCAATTAATACGCATGTATGCTACTGGATTTGCCGAGACTGCAGTCGGTATTAAGTTTTTTGCAAGACACAGGATGGACATTTTTTCTGGTTTTCAATGCCAGGGGAACGGAACAACTTTGGAGTGACCCGGAAATGTGATTTCCTGATTATCTATTAATATCCTCCCTGCAGCAACCATCGTATACAGCCTAGCCCAAATTGCCACACAGCTGAAGAAACATTCGGAGGAGACGGACAAACAACTGGAGGCGCTGAAGCAGGACAATGAAGTCTTGAAGACCGTTTTAGACAGCATCTTAGTGAAAGTATCCAGGATCGACGGGTTACTGAACTCTACACTTGAAAAAGAACAGGTGTGGCATCTGTGTATGTGTGTCTAGTGTTTATGGGTGTGTATGTGTTTGCTCGCAAGTGTCTGTCTAGTTCACATTTAACTAGAGTTGTGGTTAATTATTTTAAACGTACACGTTTCAATTACTTAACGAGGTTTCAGTGTGGAATATAGTAACCTTAAGAGACAAAGTGAACAACATTTTCAGGTCAGGCATATGTTGTTGGACCTGCATATTTATAGACGAATCGAAAATCCGAAACTTTACTTCCTGTGACGATTCCTGCTACCCATTAGGGTTGACTTAGCAACTTTCTTCTTCTTCTTCTTCTTCTTCTTCTTCTTCTTCTTCTTCTTCTTCTTCTTCTTCTTCTTCTTCTTCTTTTTCTTCTTCTTCTTCTTCTTCTTCCTTTTCTTCCTCTGCTTCTTCTTCTTCTTCTTTTTCTTCTTCTTCTTCTTCTTCTTCTTCTTCTTCTTCTTCTTCTTCTTCTTTTTTTCTTCTTCTTCTTCTTCTTCTCCTTTCTTCTCTTCTTCTTCTTCTTCTTCTTCTTCTTCTTCTTCTTCTTCTTCTTCTTCTTCTTCTTCTTCTTCTTCTTCTTCTTCTTCTTCTTCTTCTTCTTCAGTTTCTTCTCCTCGTCCTTGTTTTTTCTTCACCGGCTGTAACCTCGGAATATTCTGGACTCTAGTCCTGTTCCATAGCTTGAGATTAGCGGGCAAATCTGTTTTTACAAACCTGTCTTATTTATATTACCGCATCATCTTCGCGCCAGCCGCCAATTCTCCCTCAAAATACTTCACTTTATAAAAGTTATACCCATAGCATTGGCCTCTCAAAACACACACAGGATCCCAACTGACCTACCTATCGATTTTCAGGTAGTATTTTTACTATATAAAATTCATACCCCATATTGGTCCCTATGTGGGTTCCGGGGTTCTATTGTGGGAGAAAACAAGAATAGACTCACTGCCTCCCCAAAAGGCATGTCGTAGGAGTCGACTAATTAGAGGTTTCATTCTAAGTCGGAGTGCATCTGCATGAGAGTCAAAGAACCAACAGTCTGCATTGCAAATAAGTCAGATCTGTAAAACGGATGTGCACGCATTATCAGATTTTGGAACAAGCCTAGCCAGTGATCGTGAAAAAGAAGAAAATACCCCAAAAATACCTTGACTACCACCATTGACCAAAAAGATCCTAAACTAACAAGTCGAATTTATTATTAAGCTAGAGAGAAAAGGAAAAAGAAAAAAACAATTAGGGAGCTGAGGAAATAAATGTGGTTAACACAATAAGTAGTTCCCCGCTAAACTGAAGAAATAGGAAAAGTAAAGAAAAGACAAGGCTTCGTCTGAGAAGGGACCATAGAATATTGATCACAGCCCAGGCAGTGAATTTGTCAATAGTGAGTTAAACAACTAATCTCATATATTGTTTCTAGAGCAGATTTTTGTGAAACACATAGAGGCAGAGGAAGACCAAGAAGAAGATGGATTTTATCCCATTCGCGATCTACTCCTGTGAGACTTCCATGCATGGCCACTAGCGCATAAAAGTTCCGATAGCGGCACAAGCAGATTTTGACAAAAGAAGAAGAAGTTAAACAACAGCGTCGTGCTGTTTATCCCATTCGCGACTCCTGTGGCCTGCTGGGCACTACATAAAAGTTCCGATCCGCCAACCTTGAAACTGCTTCACCAACAAATTACTTTAATAATACCTCTGTTAACGAGCCGGTGTGCGCCATCTTAAAAAGAACCCGGCGAACTTACAAGTATTTTTTATCCGCTTACTGACAAGGGCGAAATGATAATCGAATCTGACATACTATACGACTAACATCATTATTTTTTATTTCCCATAATCTCAAGATCTCTCTTGTCACTGCAGCAACTTGGGACCTCGTGTTATCGGGGTATGCCGCACAAAAGCTCCAGGGAGACGTTTTTACTGCAAGAGAAGCTCCTGGCGCTGTGTGACACTGAGACTGATGGTGGAGGTTGGACAATCATACAGGTGATTTGCCTATGATTTCACTTCAGACTAGAAGTCTGTTTTCTTCTTTTTTATCCATCATTATTTGCCACTCTGCTTCCTAAAGGTTTGTCAGTGCTTTATTAATATCCTACCCCAGATGACGTCACGTGACAGTCCAACATTTCAGAGGGTCGTAAGACTGGGTTTCCTGGCTTTTTTATGATTTTAATAATCCCAAAACATCTAGAACTGGCCCTAACTCCAACCCACCTACATCCCACTAGAGAATACAACCTAGGTCCCACGACTACATGCAGCATAGGTCCCACGTTTGCATGCGGCCTGTCTACGATCCCCTGAAATATTAGACTATCCCGTGACCTGTGGATTTCCCTGTTTGGGGTAAGATATTAATAAAGCACCGGTTTGTCTTGTGGGGCTGCTTCTATGGGCCATACCTGCAGTCAGTCATGTCTGGCAGTGGTTGTGGAATGTTATGTAAAATATGCTTTTGTGTGAAGTTTATAATATGAAGAGTGTTGATGTACGATAACTGGTATATGTATCCTATTGTTGAATGAATTATCTTGTACAAACTATTGTTCTATGAGCAGTGATTGAACTTTTCTATCAAATAGGTTGTTGCATGAAATATGTTACTATACGAACTTTCCTGAAAAATAATTCATGGCGAAACTGTTAAAATATAAATAGTTAGGAAATACGAACTTTAAAATAAAATTTTAAGCTCTCTCAGATAACTGTGTTTGGCATCCCCCCTCCCCTTTTCCACCAATCATATCTCCCTTTCCGTAGGATTGAAAAATCATCACCTGGCGAAATTATTAAAATAGAAATAGTTAAGAAATGAGAGCTTTAAAATAATATTTTAAGCTCTCTCACCTATGTGTCTGGCATAACCCCCCCCCCCCCTCAATCATATCATCTTCTCCGAAGGATGGAAAGTCACCGTGTAACGAAATACTGTAACTAAATTGAGCTTGGCATCCGTATCCACCCAGACTTAAATAGGTAGCATTAACTTGTACAGAGAAGTAAATGTAGCCAGTGTAGCAGCTACCAAATCACCCATCCAGTACCAGTACTACTGCAACCACTACCACCACAACCATCACAACAACAACAACAACAACAACAACAACAACAAAAACTGTCACTACAGTCTGTGTAGGTCGGTGTAGAAAAGAGGAGTTAGCGCCGCATGCTGTCGCTACGGACAATTTAGTTTAACTTTGCGCTCGACATAGGGAGAAAAAAAACTTCATCACGTAACCAGTGATGGAACCCACAGCAAAAAGTACACTACACTCACGAAAAGCGGAGAAAAATAGGTGCGCACCCGTCATCTCTCCCTCTCCGAGGAAACGATTTTCCACTGACCTTGGCATCCGTGTCACCCAAACTAAACTGGACTGTAAGCCGTCTTAGTTAACAATTTCTGTCATCGCCGAATAGTTTTTTTGATTATGACTTGACTAAAATCGGATGTCTGCGAAAGGCGCAGATATCGCAGCCTAGCTGTAAACCGCAACACAATGTAGCAACCACTCTTTTAAGGGAAAAAGAACAATTATCACCCAGCGGGGAATCGAACAAAGGTCAGCCGCGTGAAGGATGACATACTTACAACTATACTATCGACGACTGAAGAGTTTAGGTCAGATATCGCAGCCTAGTTGTAAACCACAACACAACGTGCCAACGGCCCTCTCAAGGGCGAACGAAGATTACCCGTGACATGACCATTGAGCATCACGTCGCCGCTGTCGCAGGCTAGCTGTAAACCCTAAAACCAAAAAAGGCGTAGATATCGCAGCCTAGCCATAAACTACAACACAACATGCCATCCGTCCAGTTAAGGCCTAAAAAACATTATATCACCTAGCAAGAAATCGAACGCGGGTCACCCGCATGATAGGCAGAACAGCAACCAACTACGCTACCAAACACTCAAGCAGATAGTGGAAATAAAATTATATAATAATACAAAGTTCAATAAGAGCTCAGCAGCAAATATGGCCAATTAACTAAAAACAAATCCGGGCCGGCAACGAAACAAATAATGATTTGACCGTTGCTGGAGCTACGTCGTTTGTGGTTAGTGCGATTTTCTGACTAAAAATCACGCTTGGAGTCAAAGGCAACGTTGTATGCAAATTTGAAAGCAATTGGTTCAGTAGTTTCCGAGTTTTTAGCTAACAACATCGGAAAATTAACATTTTTATCAATATAGATGAAAAGGTTGTCTTGTATACATGTCTGTATTTAATCCTCCTTATTCGATGGTCGTCTGATGCCTTGTCTCCATTCCCGCCCTTAGAGACGTGTGCGAGGAGATGTAGACTTCTATAGAGGCTGGGGTGATTACAAGAGAGGGTTTGGAACCCCAGACACCGACTTCTGGATTGGAAATGACATTATTCACAGTCTCACCTCACAGGTAACTAACGTTTATTACTTCATTAATATATATATAGTATATATATATATATATATATATATATATATATATATATATATATATATATATATATATATATATATATTTTATTGGCCCGCCCTGGATTGTAAGCCATGTCACTAATGCCCCCAAACAGTCGAAAGTATAAATATCGCTGCTCTGGGGCACAACTCCAAAACAGAAAATGTTGGTCGGGTACAGTTTTTACCCCGCCACTCCCCCCCTCACCCCCCCCCCCTCGCCCCAGGACACCGAATTGAAGGATTGAAACCCAGTGGCTCAAAATGTCCCTTTTCATATGTCTATGCTTGTACTACTACTACTACTACTACTACTACTACTACTACTACTACTACTACTACTACTACTACTACTACTACTACTACTACTACTACTACTACTACTACTACTACTACTCCTCTACTATTACTATTCTTGTTATTATTGGCGTCTGTGGCTAAGGCGTTCGTAATGCCTGTGTGCCGGGTTCTGTCCCAGCTGCAGGCGATTGGGCAACAGACTGTCTTGTTTTGGTATCGACAGTGGCATCGAGAGCCGACCGTTCAATGAGCAATGGCAAACTACTGAAGGTAAATTTGCCTTAAAAAACCACAACAGCAAATAAATTCTTGGATAAGTTCTGCTACTACTGCTGCCTTACATCAGGCAATTTTCATCCGAAGGTATCACTTCGTGTCACCGGGTGCTAAACGCTCGATGTGTGATCTTGGTGGTGTTGAATGTCAGTCAGTCACTCATTCAGGATGCTCAAAGGATAGTGTTGACATGATTCGTGTGCAAAATTGCATTTTTGTATGACATCTTTTTCTTCTGTTGCATTTCTAACCATCAGTGGAGCATAGACCCTAAACCAACTCACCCCAAGTCGTTCTATTCTTTGCTATCGCGTGCAGCTCTCCCCATGTTCTCCCCCTCTTTCTAATTTCATTCTCCAGCTACCTTCTTCGTGTGTTGTTTTTTTTTTTTTTTTTTTTAGCCTTCCTTTATTCATATACCCATGTGGGTTCCAATACAAAGACATTTTAGTCATATTGTTCTCCGATTTTCTCGGTGTGCGTCCTATCCAACGACAGAATCTTTTCTTCACTTCTTAGTCTATTGGATCTTGCTAAGTTCTCTCCCACAGTTCTACATTAGTGATTACATCATACCATTTAATTCCCTCTATTCTGCGCAGGCACCAGTTATTGAATATTGTTTGACATAGGGTACTTCAATAGACTCCTTAAAAAAGTGCTTTCATGTGGAGTTCCTTACTCACAGATCATAATGACTTGATGGTCTATGGACTGTGTGAATTGTGTTAGGAGGCAGCAACTTCATGGTGACCAAACAATCCAATTCCTCCATCATCATTGTTCCAAACACTGGAGTGTGAGCAGGAGTTTTGTCATAGAAAACCATGAAAAAATACTGAACGTTCTAGCAGGAGTCTGTATTGAGCAGGAGTTTCTCTTTCGCCCGAATCCAACCAAGTGAAGTAGCTGGTTTCAGGACTAAAGTTCAGGAACCCGGGATCTCATTGAAAGATGTGAAGCTTTTATGCTGACAGGTGTGTTTAAAAATCGAATTGTTCTAGAACCATGATTCCACTTTATTAAAAAGATTTTTTTCCTGGACTAAGTTACATATGGTTGGTTCTTCATATTCTTTGCATACATTTAGTCATTTAATTCAAACACCCAGCATTGGCACCTCTGTGTGGTAGTTTCTGCTTTGAGACTACCTCAACCTTGTTCAAATGTAATATTCTTCTCCCTCTTCTCGTTTACCAGCTGTAAACTCTGGCTAAAGGTTTTGCTCATTCATCCACTTCTGGACTGCCGTCGTGTTCCAGAATCTGAGTGTTGCGTGTGCATCCGTTTTACAGATCTGACTCATTTTCTATGCAGACTGCTAATTTCTTGCCTCTCATGCAGATGCAATCCGACTTCGAAGAAAGCTCCCAATTAGTTGACTCTTACGACATGCTTTTGGGCAGGCAGTGGGTCTATTCTTGTTTTCCCTACAATAGAGCCCCGGAACCCACACAGGGATTCAAATGCATTGAAAAAAGTATATTGACCTTGAAGCCGTCGTGGTGTAGCAGCTAAACGCTCGCCTGCGTATCCAAAGGTGGTGGGTTCAGGTCATGACGGAACTGGACTTTTTTTCCAGAAATGACCTTGACTCCCAGGTCTACCCAGCCTTAAATGGGTACCAGGTACACTTATGAGAAGTAAAGGCGGCTAGCATGATGTTGACAACATCGCCCACCGAGTACCAATCGGTCTTTAAAATATAGGTCTAGCCCGCTGTGCCCAATACTCCTGAAGGCGTGGAAGACTTTACTGCACTTACTAGCTTTGAACCTAAACAGCCTTGGTCATCCACTGCACGTATCTCCCTTTCCAGTCGTCTCAAAATTGTCTTGATATTGGATCATCATGGACAAATGCGAGAGAGTGAAGTCCACGAATTCTGCAACTCTTCCTCCATAAATCCAAGTCATTGCGCAAGTCACTGTTATCCAGTTATGAATATATTTTCTGAAGTCTTCACCAACTTAGGGCTAACTTTCAACACTGATAAAACTGCTAAGTATTAACCAGCTCCCAGAAAGAATTACTAGGATCCCACTATCACTGTTAATGATCAAAAGCTAAATGTAGTCGATTCGATAGATTCACTTATCTTGACATTACCCTGGCACAGAAAATCAACATCGACGACGAAATCAACGCTAGAATCTCAAAGGTCACCAGAAGTTACTTTATACCAGTGTCGGGAATAGAAGTGGTATTCCCCGCTGACCAAGATAAAGGTTTACAGAGCTGTAATTCTTCCAGTACTGCTTTACGCTTGCGAAACGAGGACTGTATAGCAGCGCCATGCTAAAAAGTTGAATCAGTTTCATATAACTTGTCTCAGAAAGCTGATCAAAATCAAATAGCAGGATAGGACCCCAGATTATGTGGTTCTTGATAGGGCAAACCTGCCGAGCACCCACACAATGCTGAAGAATTATCAGCTGCATTTGGCTGGTCACCTAGCTCCCATGCCAGACTATCGCTTCTCAGAAAAGAGTATTTTATGGCGAGCTCCAGCAAGGAAAGATGTCCCAGTGACGACAGAAAAAGCGCTATAAAGACATTGTCAAAAACTGCTCTCAATTCTGTTGGCATCAACACAGCGACGTGGGAAGCTGCAGCACATGACCGTTCTGGATGGCGTACATCCTTCAAACATCAGCATGCCAGTCAGCGGAGGTTGCAAAGGCAGAGAAACGGGGGCAGACTAGGAAGAACCGTATCGCTAATCCCACACTTACTGTGGCTTTCACCTGTATCCCCACTCTGCTCAAGAAATTTCCAGGCTCATTTTGGATTAATAAACCACCTTCGTTCTCATAATCATTGATCATTGCTAGTTTGGATGAAAAGTGGTCTTCATCACTCGTTATGGACGAACAACACAACTTTGAACCTAGGTTAGACGAGAATTTGGTCCTGAATTTACTGCACTAAAATACATACAGTCAATAGACATTGAGATCTGTGTATTTCAGTAGAAAGGTAGGTAGGTAGTTGTACCCCGTCAGGACATTACACAATGCGGATGAGGATCACTCTTGGAGAGGTCCCGGAAACCCTATTCAGCCGTTAGGCCATATTTCAGGTCCGGCTATATTTAGCGCCCCCGGCAAAAGCCAGAGTGGGCACCGCCAAAGCCGCCATGACAGCTGAACAAGCCTGCCCACCAGCCCGGAGAAACCTCACAGCTCACAACCAGCCAGGCATGATGTCCACCGCCAGATTGACCCCACCCTACCCGATCCAGGCCGTTCCAGGCTTTTTAGGCCAGACCGAGATCCCTTCCTACACTCTGACAGCAACAGCAACCTCAGGCGTAATATAAACGCCGCAACGGAAACTTGACGTTAATTGGAAAACGAATTCCAAACAACTATACACAGCCTTCGATATAACCACTGCTCAAACTAGGAGCCGGTTGAAAGAAACGCGAATTTTTTTTTTTTTTTTTTTACCAAAACCAAGTACCAAGCCAGAGTGGGGCTTCCAAATAACTAAAAATTGCATCCCACAAGGGGACAACGAGATTGTTTAGTGGAACGGTCTTTTTATATGTTAAGGTAGCTTGTGATGCACCGAACGAAAAATATATTTTTTTAAAAAAATCGACAATACTTAAAACTGCGACCCCAGGGGACACAACCTATCGTTTGTGCACGTTCTTATAATTTCTTCTACCCCAAAAATTTAATTTCAGGAGTTGGTTAGCAATAAATCTAACCCTAACCTTCCTAATCTCAAACAATATTAAAATTAATAGTTTGTGAACTTAAACAATGGATTGCATCCCTTAGGGTCGGCATTAAAAATGTGTTTACATTTGAACAGATAACATCCCCTAGGGTCATCGTTTCAAGTATTGCAGAAATATCACAAAACTGGAATGTACTGTCTCTGTCCGAATTATTTAAGCTTCGTTTTCAACCCATTTTAGTCTGGTTCGACTTGATGCACGAACCAGTGAAACGAATTTCTCTTGATTTACCACGATCTGTGACATTTTCAGGGCTACAACCAACTCCGGATTGACTTGGTCTACAACGAAACCAAGTTTTTCGCTCAGTACACAAACTTCATTCAGGCCGACGAATCGTCTGCATACACCATCACAATTAGTGGATATTCTGGAAATACCTACGACAGCATGAGCTATCATAAAGGCAGCAAATTCAGCACTTTTGACAGGGATAATGATCAACATCCCGAAAGCTGCGCCAAGAAGTATCACGGCGCTTGGTGGTACAATGGTTGTTACGCATCTAATTTGAATGGAGCCTGGGCAGACGCAAATGACACAGGTATGGGTTGGTATTTTAACCAGACTAACCATCGGAACAATGTGTCGTTTACAGAGATGAAGATCAGATATATTTCGAGATAATTCTTTGATAAGTTTCTTAAACGTCGCAATCACCTGCTAGTCCATTAGCTGGATTACAGGAGTTGTGTTAAGGGACATTACAGGAGTTGTGTTAAGGGACATTACAGGAGTTGTGTTAAGGGACATTACAGGAGTTGTGTTAAGGGACATTACAGGATTTATTGCTGTTAAGGGAACATTTTGTCAGAAGGGTCTCTTGTTAATGCTTTGATATTTCAGGAGTTGTGGTTAAGGGACATTACAGGAGTTGTGTTAAGGGACATTACAGGAGTTGTGTTAAGGGACATTACAGGAGTTGTGTTAAGGGACATTACAGGAGTTGTGTTAAGGGACATTACAGGGGTTGTGTTAAGGGACATTACAGGAGTTGTGTTAAGGGACATTACAGGAGTTGTGTTAAGGGACATTACAGGAGTTGTGTTAAGGGACATTACAGGGGTTGTGTTAAGGGACATTACATGAGTTGTGTTAAGGGACACTAGGGAGTTGTGTTAACGGACATTACAGGAGTTGTGTTAAGGGACATTACAGGAGCTGGTGGACGCTAACATGAAGAAGACTGTCTGTAACCGAGGTTCTGTTTAAGGAACCGAGACGCGTTTTTCCCCACTCCGGAAAACTTTGTACCATAAAGATGTGTTCCAGAAGGGTGGCACTCCAGAGTTAATGTTCCGCTGTAAACTGAGTTTTACCCCATTGTTACTTTCACTTAATGCGTACATTTCCAGTTAGTGCAGCAGTTCTCAAACTGTGGTTGGTGACCCTGTTGGTGGTCGAACGATTCTTTCACAGTGGTCAACTGAGACCATCAGAAAACACATATTCACTTTAGTTATGTAGTAGCAACGATAATAATTTTGTGGCTGGGGGGGGGGGTTACTACAACATGAGGGACTTTTAAAGGGTCGTGGCATTAGATAGTTTGAGAACCAGTAAGTTCATGGGAGGTTTTTTTTTAGACTGTTCTCATGTGTGCTTTCTATAGTACCGCCGTATTTTTTTTATATTCAAAATCTCTACATCTTCCTGTCTTGTTAATTTTCAAGTATTTTCAAGAATGTTGAATGCTGGGTAATAAAATAATGAAGAAAACGGAGGCACTGATGTGTTGTGTTATAGTTTTAGAAGAATTTTTTAGGGGGAGTCTGACACACATGTACACATAAAACAATGTGGTCTTGTAAATATGTTTAGTCAATTCTTCAAGCCGATAGGCATTACTGTATGGGTTCGGGAAAAAACTAGGAAGGGCGAGGATGGGGGCCGGGAAAGGGGGGGGGGGGCGGCAGGGTCTCCCTAACAAGCATGTCGTGCATCGGCGACTTATTAGGAGTGTGTCCTTTAGAGTGTATCTGCCTATGGCTAGAAACCAACAGTCTGCATACAAAGAAGCCAGATCTGTAAAACAGAACTATGGCTTTCAGCTGGAGTTTACTGCTGATGAAGGCTTCGAAACAAACCAATAAACAGAAAGAGAAAATGAAATGTATGGGGCAAGTTAGCAAAAGAAATGGGGAAAACATGTGAAGGAAATACTGGTCAAGAGAGATAACGGAAAACAGAGAGTTAGAGACATGCTAAAACCGTTAGCAACATAATATAATAAACAACAAAATTATTTCAAATATTAAGTGAAAGATAGGAAGCCTATGTGGTGTAGCGGCTAGACGCTCGCGTGGGGATCTGAAGGTAGTGGCTTCAATTTCTGGACCACCTTGACTTGTGAAATGACATCATGAAATTCATTAATTATGCCAAGTGGAGTTCTTGGTAGTGTTTTGTGCATAGGTCATGACTTTTATATAGCAAAGTATTTTAAGGTAGACCTGACGGAAATGTGGGTGCTCTGACAAGATTTTGTGCTAATACAACAACAAATTTTCAAGAAAATTATTAACACAATCAAGCATATATAAGAATGCAAAGATAAATATATATATATATATATAAAGCTACCAGTGCCAAACGTGGACACTATTTAAAGCCAATATACGTAAAATCACCACCTGCGAGACGAGATGCCTGAGAGAATCAGCCAACCTAACCATCCAAATAATGATACTATCAGAAAAACTGAGGAAACGACACCTTGCACTAGATTTATCGAGAAACAGCAGATCAAGTGTTTTGGCCGTCTCGTTAGAATGCAGCAAGATCAAATACCATCACGAGAACTACATCTCAGAAGATCAGCTACAAGAGCAAGAGGACGGCCCAGAAATATGGATCGACAATATTAAAGACACCCTACGCTTTCACGGCATGACAATAGCCAATTGCAGCCAGCGTGCACTGGATCGCAAATTATTCTTGTCCACGGCGCTTAACGGAGGAAGTGGTTTATAATGATGATGATGACAACAACAGAAACAAAGAAAAACAAACAAAACTTAACTGAATCGACAGCACTATGGACATTTCCATAAGCACGCTGCCACTGATGTGTGCGTTAGGGACTACCGTCTGCTCGCCAAGTATCTAGGGGATCTTATATAAATGTCAGTCCTCAACACATGTGCACCAGGTTCTCTCAGCTGAAGAACCATGACCGCCCACTCTCATGGGCACGCCATATGCTAATGGTGACTATAACTGGGGTAAAGGAAGATCAAATCGGCCACCATGGCAGGCATGGGAGGCTAAGATCCAGGGAACCAGACCTCCAGGGCGACCCAGGGTTCGCTGGGAAGACAACATCCGATAGTCCCTGACTGACAGAGGACTAGAATGGAACAAAGCCAGGAAGAAAACTACTGATAGAGAAGTCTGGCGATTTCTCTGAAAACCTTTACACCCCAAGGTAAAAGAGGAGCGACTAAATAAAGTAAAGGACGGTCAACCCACACAAGAGCACCACTATTAGCCAGACTCAGTAATACCTTCACATGTCCTATCGTAACCACCAACATAGTCTACGAGTACTGTAATAATACACCACGCCAAGTATGGTACTGTAGTGCGAATAGTCTCTTTATTATGGAAGAACACATTACGACGAAGATGAGTTGGTGATCAATGACTGACTGTCAAGTCTTCTACTCCCAGCCAAATACACTCACATCAGAAATCTCCCCAGGCATGGACAATACGCCCCTGCGAACTATGTACGATCTGAATGCCACGGACGACTTAAAAACGATCGCACAGATACAACTACGTAATGTGCAGTGACAATCCTCTGACGGTTCTCCCTCTTAAAGAACCCGCCACCCAAGGACCCAATGTAGATGCACCACTTGGTAAAATGAATCCACACCTCCCGTCTGCTACCTAGTCACTCATTGAAGTATCACTCATTAAAGTATCACTGATCAACATCACGATAACCAGTCTTTGATACCCCCATATCACAACTTCACATTCATTGTCGCACACAAATTTCTCCAGCACTTCTGTGCACTTAAGGACAACCCGTTAACCAGCGTGCCACATAGCCGTAACTCTATAGACCCTACACACATGACCGACACAAGTCCATTCTAGAAAATAACTGACAGAATAATGAAGTCCAACTCATGATCACCACAGTCTCCAGACAGTTCACACGAGTTCCACTGAATAAAACATTGCTAAAACTGTCACACAACACAGTCCATAGGTCATCAACAAATCGCGCACACGTCTACACACTAAGACGAACTGAAAGCTGATTGACTCAAGCTACCACGAGGTTTTCATACCTGCTGTCAACTCCGCATAGATCTCGCCAAACTGAACCAATAATCAAATGAACAGACTGGACAGAACTTGGTGTTGAGCATGTACCTTGCTTTCATCCTTCTGTTGTAACCTCTGAAAATACGTAGTCATTGAAACGTCTTATTAAAGCAAACACCATGTCGTAGTGTGTGGCACCTTGACGAGGAGTCCCTCCATTACTATACACGGGAGTGCCACTATATACCTTGATTTAATTATAGATTTCCCCCTGTTACTATACAAATGGCATCGGAACCTTGTTGGAGGTTACAACCTCTCGTTGTTTCATCATTGATTATACGCGCCCCCACCCCCAGTCTTGTAAAAAAAAAAAAAGCCCTCCCCTTTTTTGCCATCAATTTGTAATTTTTACTTGTGTATATTTGACCTTTTAACTTTGAATGTATGTCTACTCGTAGGGACACACAAGAAAGAACAAGTGGGTAAAAGAAATTAAACCAGCACTTTGCTGGAGAAAAGAAAGAAGCAACAAAGAAAGAAAGAATGAATAAACAAATCAACAAAAGGCACCTAACAAAAGAAAGATGAGAATCCATAGCTATTTATGGGGTTACAGGTCTCAAGTTCATATTTTACCATATAAAAAAGTCTTCCACCATATATTGTAACCCCCGCCACCGACCATCATACTGCACTTGAACTAGCTTCCCTGAAGGGGGAGCTTTGGGTTATAATTGTGACTAGGTTATGTGCGCCGTATCGCGATCGAAACCCATTGCTGGATGCGTGGATTTTTATCATGGTATGGTGCGTCGCAGCTCGACCCAGCCTAAAATAGGTAACAGGATGGCTGTCCTGGAAAAGTAAACACGGCTGACGTAATGCTGACCACATTACCCACCTAGTACCGATTGGTCTGTAAAAATATGGGATGCTCATTCCATATGCCCGATGCGACTGAGGCGTAAAAAAGGATCCTTACTTACCTTTATTTGCGCCATATAAAATGGCTTAGCATTGCTGGCCACCACGTAGCCTTGAAAAGTCGTTTACCGGCGAGCCAATGGGCGACTCGTTCGCTGATGGACAGAATAAATATCTTGAATACTTTCCTGTATACCAGTTATACCCCTGGTGCCATTTTGGCAGAGAGACCATCAAAATTATTTACTGTATACGGTCTCAAAGCCTTGTTGGCCATCTTATCGTAGCCCGAAATCGTATCGGCGTAGCCAGCCATTTTGTCGGATATCGACTTTCGAGTGGCTTACTGGACTGCGTGGCTTGTTGGACTGCGTGGCTTGTTGGACTGCGTGGCTTGCTGGACTGCGTGGCTTGTT